GAAAACAAAGGTTATTTATTATGAGATCAATCACTTATACAATTAGGAATTTGAAAATAATATTAATTAGAACACCTATAATTGGTATGTTTTTTTTTTGTTGGTTAAATACTGTTCAAGCTAAATATTCTTGCGGTGTTCAAAGCAAGCGGGCTGAAAATATTTCGAGCAAAAAGTTTTTACTTTTTTCCCATTTTCTTGTACAAGGGACACGTCTTGCCTGTTTTAACCTTTTTGCAGGGGGCTCACGGAGAGTGACCTCGATATCGATCCTCTGAGTGTATTGAAACATGATCATCAATTTCACTCGTATCACCGTCTTTTGAACGGCACTCCTCATCCGAGCGAACATCAACAATACTTTACAAGTACTCTTCAACCTTTGCAAGTGCTTATGCGAAATAGAAGCTATGTTTACTTAAAAATCAAACAAATACTCATGTAACAATGCAACAAGGGCGATGATTCTCCCCAGCAATGTTAGAATAACCAAAACAACAAAAACTTACCGTGATACGTTGACAGGTGCGAATGATTACATAGACTTTAAATAGAGAATAGATCAATCGTTAGGAAAGAAAAAACAAAAACACTTTTATCGAGTAGTGCGGTGACGGGTGATCCTTGTTGCCTTCCTCGGGATAATAAATGAAATCGACTAGCCAGTTAATCTGACATTTCGATTTTATTTTTTTGTTATAATCAATTTAAAGTTTTTGGTTTTAGAGCCTTCTTAAAATCAACATTTCATATGTCACCAACTGTTTGGTCTTATGTCCTCGTTGGAAGAATGGTTGCCTATGCAGGGAAAGGTCGTTAGTTAGAACCCAGTCTAGTACTGAGGATAATTCTTTATTTTATTGTATTTCTAAGCGCGTTAATTCTTGGTAATTACCACTACAGTGGCCGCTGTATGAAAATTCATACTACTTACTATTACGCATTCAAAATCAAGTGCAAATGTATGTAAGATCAAGTACCAATGTAAGAACCAAGGAGTTAGTAGAGTAGTTTACTCTACAATTCTGAGAATCTAAAACTTAATATAAGTAGAAACTGATCCCGTAGTTAACCAACTGTTTTATTTTTTATTCTATGGCAATATCAAACACATACCCAACGTTGAAGCTTTGGGAGCGTACACCAGATTAGCTCACAAATTCACACTTGCCGAATACGATCAGAATACAGCAGCAGCAGACTTGTGGCAACTAAGATACAAAATCCTCTTTATTCCAATTCAGTAAGACTCAATTTTTCAGACGTAATGGTATTTGTGGAGTAATGGCGACTATACGTATATGTCCGAATTAATTAGCAAACGAGTGTTTGACCTAACCCTGCTTTATACATATTGGGTCATCTAGAGATTTCTCTCGGGAATGTGTTTCTGTCTACTGGCAGGGTGAAACCTAATTTCGAATATTCATATAGGGCTAATTAGAAATTAAACAATTTAATTTAGTGGATCACATAATCTAGTATGATAGTAATGTTGCTATAGGTAATATGGAAAGTAATGTTGCTATAGGTAATTAATTAATTTAAATAATCCATGAAATGTAATCAATTAGGAGTAGGAGTGGTAATCAGCGTCGTTTGATTGTAAGCAAACATAATTATACTGAATTATATAATTCATAATGTATATTTAGACGATCTTTAAATGTAAATTCATTTTAGTTAAATGTACGACGGAATTATAAACTATTCATTTATTTAAATAAATAATCTCAAATATATGTTTATATTAATTTAAAAAAATAATTTATCAAAATTTTACCCCATCTTTCTACTTTTATACTGGGCCACACTGGGCCTAAATTTTGCAAAAACATATAGGATTCCTTTCTATACCTATAGATCACATCAAAACCTACAGTAAATCTGTATGTAATTTGTTAAATGTTACGCATATATTCGTACGGAACCTTCGGACCGCGAGTTCTAGTCTCACTTGAACGATTTTATGTTACTTTATCTGTTTCTATGTGAATTAGCACTATCTAGTGACAGATTTGATGAAACACTAATATATAAAGTAAAAGCAAACCATTACAAAAAGCACGCAACTGAAATCTAGGCATTATTTGCTTGAGGCAACATTCACTAGATGGCGTCACTGACTGCATGATCCCACAATCTATTTTACATAATATTTTACATAAAATAAGTACCTACCAACCACCAAGGTTTCCAACCAAGAGCTGTAGATCGATAGGTCCAAGCATTAGCGTAACTATACCGTTTGAGGCTTCGTGGTTCATCGGATATTCAATTTATTTTACTAAATGCGTAATAATAAATGTCAGGAGTAAGGAGTTTCATCTGACCAGGATGCTGGGGGCCTGTGGCTTTTTGCCGACTTGCCACCCTGTAGTTACGCCACTGGGTCCAAGGTCCAAGTGTACATTATCTATACAAATATTAAAAAAAAAGGAATTATTTGATTTTTTCTTTGATTATAACAAATATGCTCCAAAACTACTGAACCGATTTTAAAAATTCGGCATGGACCAATAATATCCATGCCTACGGGAAGCTACATCATATGCGGTGGACACAGGCTAAATTTTTTAGTGTGAACGTTTGCATAGGATATTACACGTTGCCATAGTAACCGGGGTTTACTATTAAATTTGCCATTGTAATTATATCTGTGTAGTGCTATAAATAAATATCCAAATTAATTATTTAATTTGTTAACACAAGAGTAAATCTTACTAAATTATAAAGGCGAAAGTTTGTATGTTTCTTGCTGCTTCGAAAATCTTTTCCAGTTGATTTTTGACATCCAGTGGCGTAGCGTAGTTGTCTGCCGCCCGAGGTGGAAGATAATTTATCTGCCCCTCTGAATTAGGTATTTTATATAATTATACGAAACATTAATTTTAAAAGAATTTTTCGGCAAGTACTGTCATCATTATTTTGCATAATATAGGTGTGAGAAATGCACTGTCGATCGAATGGTTTAGTTGTCGCCATGCAACTAAACCACTCAATCAACCGTGCACGGATCACTGCCCACGGATAGTTCGATTGTAGTTCGGAGTGTTGTAGTTCGATCCCGACAAAAGACAATTTTTCGTGTGATTAACAAATAATTGTTCTTAGTCTGGGGTGTACTTTACCACAAAGAGAGGGCTTGTCTTTAAAAAAAAAAAAAGATTTGATATAAAAAATTTGATCTAAATAACTGAAGATTCACGAATAAAACTAATAAAACAAAATTTCTTTGAATTGTCAAAGCATCACATACTATCTTAAAGGGACGTTTAATTTAATATATATGTAATTGAAGGCATTCTTGCTGATTATAAGTCATAAACAGTGGTCGGAATTAGGTAGAGTTATTCATGTACTTACACTGATTTCATACAGCGAAAGAATAAAGTGGATATGCCTTAAATCCCGAGATTAATTTTAAAGAGCAGAAAAATCCCGTGATTTTTTAAATAAAAAGTTATTTACTTTTACACAATTTAAACTATTGCACGCACGACGTTGCCAAACTTACATTAATGACATCGGATGTCCAAAATTGCAAAATACCAATACGCGCGATGTTGCCACATTTGTAGGGAAGGTCCACATTAATATCAACATTTCGATGCAAGTACATAAATAGCTCTACCTAATTCCGACCTCTGGTCATAAACAATCGAAGCACATAATAAAATACGAGGAATCCCCGTAAGTCAGTATAGATGGTTTCGCTACACTGTTGACATCACCGTTTTTTTTTTCAGTTAATATTAAAAAATGGAGAAAAAGTTTATCTTCACGGGTAAAAATTAAAACAACCCAAAGTTATAAAAATCACAGTCGTTTATTTAATAATAAATACTGGTAATTAGGGTAGGTATAGAGATTTTACCAAAAAATCCTTAGTATTAATGAAAGGTACTTCAAGAATATCTAATTAAAATCTATAAAATGTAATGTTTAAGTGAGTAGATACGATTAAATCTGCCTAGATGTCGCTTCATAAATAGTTCAGCTCATAGATAATAACTCCGTCTTCATTTATCTAAAAGTCAATATAATAAATTATGCAACTCAATTCACATATCATCAACATTGAAAGAGCGTGTGATTAATTGAGCAAACGATACAATTTAATTAAGTACAATCGCACGACCGATCATCGCACGACGCTCTAATGTGCCGGTACCTTTTATTTATCATTGATGTGACACGGTGACAAAGGCAGTGACACCAGATATTGAACCCGCAAGGTGGCGCTATTAAAGTGGGGGGACAAATTAGTGCCGTTTAAGAAACAAAGTTTTACCGAGTGATTTGTTTAATTTTGAAGAAAAATATATTTGTTGGAACGTCAAACAATTGAAAAGTTTAGATCTGCAATGTCTAGTGTTGCAGAAATACAAATTTCATAAAAAGTTAAAATTTACTCTTTGATATATAATTTGGATGTCAGTATTATTATATTTGATTTGCATTCACAATGATATCTATATTGGAAAATATTCTTGACGAAAAATGCTTAAAAAATGTATCAGCCCCAGGTATTCGGAGGTGGGATGTGATTGTTAGAGCTTTTCATTGTCATCATTTTACTCTTTTAAATGACATCTCATGTCAATTGCTTTTATACATTATACAAAATTTTGTCAATTTACATACGACGTTTTATCTCATTATGTTTAAACAATTTTGTACGTCTTTTCTCTTCTTCATTTAGAAATAGTTTTTATTAACGAGTTTAAATATCATTGGTTTTTATAGAATTTTATTATCACGTATGTTTAAAAAATTAAAATTTGTAATTCTTTGCCTATTTCAATTTAAATGCTCATAATGCCGCTATTAAAGCAATGTTTATTAAAGAGCTAGTCTGATTTATAAGTATAATCTGTCTAACGATTGTATCATCTATATCTACGAGCTCCGGTATCTGCTTCAATCAAACGCAACGCAAGTGTTATGTTAGTGTGCTAAATAGCATGCTAGCTATTATCGTGTCTGTTATTTGCATCATAAAACGGTTATGCTGATTTTTCGGTATCGTCACGTCACTACACTTGCGTGTTCAATGTATTGTATAATAATCACATAAATATTGTAGAAGACAGAGTTGTTTTCTAGAGCCAATTTAACTAGTAAAGTTTTTTAGTAGCCACTTTTAACGACATTTGTAACTTTACAATATAATAAAGATAAGCCCATTATATAAATTAAATGAAACATTACATTTTTGTTTATAAAAAAATATAGGAATGATGAGGCCATTCGTTAAAACTAATTTCTATATAATCTAGTATAACCCATTAGGGTAGATTTGTGCTCAGCACAATTATAAGCTGTGATGTTTACAAATATAAATCTATATAATAATATTAAATAAATATTTTATGACACACGTACTCATCAGATCCCGAATAGGTAACAGTTTCACACTTCACACTCGGTGTTGATATAAAGTTACAGCACAGAAATTGGAAAGAAGTTAGAATGTCGATTGTCCTCATTTTGTAAGACCTCAGAAAAATCTTCGAATCTTTTTCTAAGAAGTTTCTTTAGACATCAATCAGAAATCATTCAAACCATTGTAACTTGAAATCCCGTTTTTTGGGGGAATTTTGCTGCTTTTGGACAAATATAAATTGAAGGAGTATCAATAATATTATGTTAGTTTTATATTGATATTTGTCCAATGCCATCAAGAAATGTTTCGAATTAAAATTTACATTTCTTTTCGATGTTCATATGTTTTTCGATAATCTTATCTCACTTTTATTATATACGGCGCATAAGTTGAACCAAATGCTCTTCTGGCGTCTATTTTTTGAGGCAATTCTAACGTCCTTCAATATTCTGTGTTTACTAAATACATGTTGAAATGAACCTCAATAATATTGCAAATCATATACAAAACAGTTGAATTGCTCTTATCAATTTTACATTTTTACTCTAACCTGTTGACGATTAAATTTAAAATCGAATTTGAAAATGTGATATTTTCTAGAAACCTCAGGGTAATCATATTTAACAACAATTTGCAACAGTAATGCTTTATTAGGTATATTTTTTAAGCCATTAAAATATCTAAATGTACCGTTAATGAGCATTATTCATTTGTAAGAAAAAATATCTAATAATAGGTATTTAAGGTGCTCGTCCACTCGCTCATTTCATATATTTGTCGGTGTCGTAAGTCCACTGCATTCATATTTTTCATAGATATTTCTATAAAAAATGCGACTGTTAGTTTAGACGTAGGAATTTTTAGTATATTCCGTTGCTTAACGTGCGGCCGTTTCGTATGTTCTGTGATATGGACATTCACCTTTATTGACCAAGAAGGATAATGCATTGATAACTCAACGTACACACCGCAACACGCCAGGTTACCACAATACGTCGAAGTTTCGCAATTGATTTTCAACACAACCATCAATGCATTAAGCTTTACAATAATTTAAAGAAATTTGACAGAGTTGCTTAAACTGACGTTTTGTTGGCTACAAATATATGAGACCTGACACGAAGTAGAACTACTTAAAGTATACGAGTTGAGTGATCTATACTTATCCTTGGCGGATATAATACGTTATACTACACTCACGAGAAAAAAATACAAAATCACTAAAAAGTTTACTTACACGCTAATTGAAAATGTAAAAAGCGCGCCAGTTTACATTTCATTCAAAAACTCAAATTTACGAGAGACTTGGCAAATGATAAACGCTTCCAATAGCATTGGGTAAATATTGTAATTGTTCGAATTGCAAAACTTCTTTTCACAAATCCAAAAACTTTCAGCAATAAAAAAGTAACAAGGAAAGTGGATGTTCATAAAATTTTATTATAACTTATTTTGAAGATGGATTACTAATATAATATTAAGTATCTGTAAGTTAACTTTCCAAGTGAGTGTAGTATAAACATAATTATATCATTAGTTATTTACTTATGAGCAAATGTGTATATTGTATATATTGCCAGCATTCACAAGAACGCTTATTATTGTAAATTAATGGTTGAATAAATATGCAACCATCTAATTTAACATATTCAACATGGATACGTTCACATATTACAATTACGTTACTTATTTACATAAAATCATGATCTCCGAGACGGTCATGATTTTAGACAATATTCCAATTCGACAAAATTGATCACACGGCACGGGCTAATTTTAATCTTTATTATGTTGCTACCAAAGAAAAAGCGGACTACTAAAAACGAAAAACCCATCAATTATTATATTACCTAGTTTTAAAGGAACTTAACGTTAAGTCATGGGCCCAAACTCCTATAAAACCTTAAACTAACTAACCCACTAGAGGTACGTATAAACAATCTAACTCCAACTGCTTTCTAAAAAGCTACTTATTTCGATAACTATCCATACTTATTATCTGAACAGGGAAATTCGCATAAGCAAAGCGGAATGCGCGATAACGCATACAAACCCCCAATTCGAACAGGATACAACGCATTCAAAAAGCATTTGTGCTACTTATCTATTTCATCAGTTTCAATTTGAACCTAAGCACTAAATACGAGATTACTCTTATGAAGATAAAGAAAGCTAATAACGCGCCGATGTCGATCCAAAAGTTAGCTTTATCCATAGTCATCTCTTCTAGGAACACGGTCGGTTTTCTGAAATGGCAGTAAACTTCGGAGCATTTGAGTTTTTCACGATCGAAACCGTAGACCGAGAGCATGGCGCCTTCAAAACCGTAGCGGACGTAGCTGAGATACGTGAGCCAGCGAAGGTAACCAGGTATAGCGTTGAAATTAACGAAGAATCCAGAGAAGAGTACCACAGGGATAGTGGTAACTGGGCCAAGATAGACGCCCGTCTCTATCTTCATGGCGGCACCGATGAGGAGGCCGAGCGACTGAGCCACTAGAGCAGTGAGGATGTTGATGGTGACAAACATGGCCACCCTGTCCGCTTGGAGGGGTTGGCCCGTCATAAAGTATACTATCATCACGTATAAGCCGCTAAACACGATCTGAAATAGGATTTTCATTATCATCGGTTAATTAATGTTCCAAATGTTGGGGTACAGGCCTTTAAAAAGAAACACAGGACCATGGCCCAATACGGATTAGTTGGTGCTAACGACTACAGATGCATCATTCCTCTTAATCATGATAATATTGGCCTTATGTGGTTAATGGATATATAATTAGTAGTTATTATTCTAAGAAGGTTACATTTAAAAATATATTAATTATACATTCGTAGAATTTACAAAATTTTACATCATGCATTTTGATGTGCACTTAGAAAATTTTAGACGTGTATTTTTGATTATTGTTTTAGTGTTATTATTGTTTTATTCACAGATACAGTAATGGCTGACGACAACATGATATCGTCTTGTGAGCAATTCCGTAAATCTTCACGTTTATGACAAGTTTTATTAATATGCTAGAGTAAAAATGTAACCGGACCTAAATCCATGAAATTTTGAAAGTTCGCTACAGTAAATGAAGATTAGGGAACATCTAGGCTTTTTAATCACTGACTACTCAATGTAACACCCATGAACGACTTGTCTAGGTGAAATGTTGGTTTTCATACGACATACATTGTTTTAGTACAAGAGATTATTCAATAAATTACCTGGAATGGTAGATCGGCTATAGTTTTTGCAAAATAAAATGCTTTTAGGGAGTACCAATAGTTCAGATGCTCCCTTACGAACACACTCATCTCTGTTGGGACTGAAACAATTGAACCATAGATTAGGATAATAGAAAAAATTAAAGCATTTTTGTTGTTGGATAGCTGCATCCCTTAGAGGGTAGCTAAAAAAATAGTATTTTTCTTATCTTAGATAATATTTGCCTTGCCGCAATATGTGTTTCAACTTATTTTCGTAATATGCATAATATAAGCACTACTAAACTACTAATGAAATAAAGTTACAGTAGTTAAACAAAACAAAAAGAACGTTATAAGTCATAAAATTATATGGGTATTCCATAGCACTCTTCCAATTAAGTACTCCAAGGGAACTGCTGTTGTAATACGATAATAATAACACCATCATAATTGACAAGGTCTTTGTCATTTAGCTGTGAGTAGACGCATTAAGATGAGTTTAGACCGGCGAGACGAGGCGAAGCGTTAATGTGCGAGGCAACAACTGTAAAAGTGTTGATAATTTCCACTAAATGATGTTTTCTGGATTTTCGTCTGGAGTATAGACGAACTATAAAGATTGACAGTGTTTCATGGGTGAACAAACCTTCTGCACGCGAACTTGAGAAACATTTTGTCTAAAACTATCTCTCACACTCATAACTGCTTAGTGTCGAAAAAACGTGTGAACAGATCCCTATTGACATGAATGATACTATTCTGAATAACACATCCGAACAAATTAATTATTGCCTGTACTGCACCCTGAGTAAATTTAAAGATAGCTCAATTCCCATAACACGCTATATATCGGTCAGTAAGATATAACAGTTTGGGATAACGTGAAGACATTGTAGCTGCACTAAGAAAACTTAACTTAATCAGTATTAAGGATGAAATACTCGTAAATATATATTTTTACATATTACATAAAGCAAGAGTGTTTATATCGACAACCTATGCAGAATTTTAGATTTGATTTCGAAGGTTTACATTGCACATATTTCCTTTTTCCTTTCAATACCTTTTAAGCTAAGGATCAAGATTATTTGAGATTGAAATCCAAATAAATATTAGTACTAAATTGAACTTTACGTCGGTAGAAATAATAACAAAACTTTGCATACATAACAAAAACTAATTCGTCCACTCCTTGTGTCATCGGTCTAAATTCACCTTTATGTAGAGGAAAATGTTCAACGTTCCACTGAAGTGCTTTTAAATATGGCTCAATTTCATGTCATTAACATTTAATTGTTGCTTGCTTAAAAATCAGTAACATTAACCCAGAGTCATACAAAATATTAACCTTAACTTTGCCATCCTTTTTTGTACGTAAGTATATTATCTCAATATTTTATTGTTTTTAAAGAGCTATGGCTCATTTAAAAATTATGTACGTCAACATTATTTTTCATTATTATATTGCTTCGTCCATAATATAAATATTTTTCTTATAGAAAAAAATTGAAAAAGCGCTAAGTGCCGGAGAAATTTCAACAGTACCGCAGATTTTACAAATCTGTCAAATTTTTCCATTCGTTTTTAAATCTTAATGTTTTGATGGTAGAGTTTAAAATCAAGTGGACAAATTTGATATATTGTGGTTAGCTAACGTGTGTACTGAAATCTGAAATTGACAAATTATTATTATACCTCACTCTTCAATTTAAATACCTATAATATCTAAATCATTTTTAATTGTGACATGATTGTTAATTTATATAATTAATTGAAAAAACTTACATGTAAGAATAGTGGGCATCATTGCAGTAAACATAGTGAACATCACAGTGAAGAATATACAGCCAGCGTTGCTCATGACCTTAGCGGCATCGGAGCCAATACCGTAATATAAGAAACCTATCAGCAAGCCCACGATGGTATGCGAATATAATCGCAAATGCGTCAGCGTCTGATCTCTCAATATACTCCGGAATGTTCTTCTCAGTAAGATAGAGAATTGCTTGTACCCTGACGTTGGGAAACCACCTTTGACTGGTTTCTTTGAGAAGCTCTCGTTCGAATCCAGGAGAGACGTGGTACATGTTACCGGTGCTAAATTCGTTGAGTTAGGAGCGTTTTGCTTCTCAGGTTTATTGGGTGTTGGCTCTGACATATCTATCACAGTACAAGTTGGTTTATCTGGAAGCAGAAATAATAGTTGTCGGCATATTAAGGACTTGAAACACATTAGTACAAGAAAGGATAAAATCTAAAATAAATTTTATTTTTCAAACAATAGTGGTTAAAGTATGAAATTGCCGATTTGTAATGAAAATCAAAATTGTTTATTTTATAATTTGTAACAAATTTATTTATTCAAAATTGTTACCATTATTATCTATACATTGCTGCCCTCTAATAGGAAGGTCATTATGCCTTTGCGATAGAACTCTAAAGATCTAGACTGCACAAACTGTGAAAGCATTTTGTTCTGTCTCCTGGGAAGAAAACTTCTTGTCACGTAGATAATTGTCCAAATCAAGAAAAAAATGGTAGTCCGTTGGACTAAGGTCTGTCAGGGGAGCAATAATGGTGAAGATCGATTCATGAGTCGGGGCCGTTTTACTGCTAGTTTTTCCAACATTGGTCGGAGTTCGGCACAATAGATATTTGCCTGTATTGACCAGATCGCAGAAAACTATAGTGAATAACACAATTCTGAGACCAGTTTTTTTTGTTATAAGTATGTTTTTTTAGGAAACTTTAGGACACTGTTGTGGCGTTTGACCTGGGGTCAGCCATTGCATTTTTCTTTTACGATTAAAATAAAGAATCCACTTTTCATCACATGTCACAACGCGATACAATATTCCTTCATTTTTATACCGATTCAACAAGGCAACACAAGTTTCAACACGCGTTTCTTTCTGCTGATCAGATTCTTGATTGTTTCTGAAAATCATGTGGCACCCTTTTTTCGTAATTTTTATTTTATTTAGTTGACGCAAATGAGTCAATATTGTGGGTAAGGTAACGTTAAACCATGCCACTAATTCCTGGGTAGTTTGACTAGGATCGGCTTCCACCCATCTCTCTTAATTCATCGTTATTCACCTGTGTGGGCGGTCTTCCTCGTGGCTCGTTCTTCAAGTCGAAGTTTCCATCACGAAAGCGTTTAAACCAACATCGCAAATTGCGTGCATTAGCAGACCCTTCTCCAAACACAACATTGATATTGCGGGCTGTTTATGCCGTGTTACTTCCACGCCGGAAATCGTATTAAAAAAAACTTTCTTTCGAAAACTTCAAACCATGAAGATTCTATATCAATTCAAAGAACTTATTACAATAAAACGGCAATTTCATACTTTAACCAGTTTTTGATTCGACGAATATGCAATACAGTTGGAAGTACATATTTGATTATTTTCTTGCTGGCCAACGAATGAAGAGTAATATTTATTATTTTAACTTATACCGAATGGCATTTTGATAGAAATCAACATATTTTCTTCATCGTCCTCATCAGTCCGTTATCATCCCCACTGGAGGGTCCCAGGCCTTCTTTATGAATGGTTACCGATAATGGGTCATAACCCTGCACGCTTTTCTAATGGTTGGAGGGCATTAACGACTGCAAATGCAGCCAGAACTAAGGGCTTAACGTGCCTTCCGAAGCACGGAGTAGCTCAAGATGATAATTTTTGGTCACCCGACTGTTGCGAATATTGCTTAGCAACAACGATCGCGGGCCGATCGTTGTTGGAGTTCTGGAGACTTAGTGCTAAACAAAGATGATCCATACCTATTACAATTTCGAGAGCCTCTGCCTTCTGAGTGTTGTTCTTACAGATCGCGTTATTATAGTTGACGTTTTGGGGAACCGATGACGTGGAGGATGATGTAGAGGTGTGACCACGGCCGCAGTTGCCTTTGTTCACCGCCATCACCAGCTTGTGAACCCAGTCACCGTGCTCACCCGTCGCCACTTCCATAACTACAATGTCAAATTTAATCGAATTTTAAATAGCTTTTTTTTTACTTTCTTTCATAACTCCACTTCTTTTCTATTCTTCCATATACAGTTTAGACAATAAAATTTGGATACAAGCATAAACCTTTGAGAATTAGTTAAAAGCATCTAAACAAAAATAACCTACACACGGCTGGCAGTAACGTGTTTTTGACTACTAATTAGATTTATTTGTAGTTAACGAGGCTATACTTTGTAGTAGTTGTCAATTTAATTTTCCTGCGCATTATAACTATTCAGACTATTTAGTAATACAAAGTTACTAAATCACCAGTTATTCAAAGTAGTGGATTCTCTGAATTGTGTAGCGACCAAATTGTTTATTGTAAACACATTCATACAGATGAGACCAATCATACCAATTGAATCCTCAACTTGTTTCGAAACATGATCGCACTGACAATAACAAAGCAAACGAAGACAAAGCGGAAACAGTGAGTGATAAAACGATGCTCAAAGGTCAACGGGAGCCAATTATAAAAAATGTGTGACTAAGTTTGGTAGTAATAAAAGATGAACGGAACATAAAGAACGTTCTTCATGATTCATTAGTTTAAGACCGGATTAAAATTAATGTAAGTAAACTGTTACAATGTAGTAAAGCTAATTTTGGTTATTACATAATTGATTCAGAACAAAATATACATGACTCTTGGCTAATGAAAACTGTAAAAAAGAATGATATCTTTAGTAAGTAACGTTAAAACTTACTATAATCAGCAGGATTGTGATAACTGGGACAGTGTAATCCCATAGACGACAGGAATGGCACCAATCCACTCACTTTTCCTTGATATACACATTGTCCTTCAGCAAGGGTATACAAAAAATCGAACATCTCAAACAATCTAGCGGACGGTTGATGGATGGTGCATATGATAGTCCTGCCGCCTCTAGACAGTGACTTCAACAGCGATATACATTGGAAACACGATGAGCTATCCAAACCTGAAGTTGGTTCATCAAAAAACATCACAGGTGGATTGTTAACCAATTCAAGGGCTATAGACAAACGCTTCTTCTGACCACCAGACAGATTAATAGTCCTAGTGTCACTAGCATCGACGAGACTCAACATGTCTAATATCTCATCAATTACAATTTTTTTGGCAGCAACTGTTATATCCTTCCCCAGTTTCAGATTCGCTGCTACGTTCATTGCTTCTTTGACCGTCAAATGGGGTAGAAGGCAATCGTCTTGCATTATGTAACAAGACAATTTTCTAAATCTTCTTAAATTTCTCGCCTTTCCATTTATAAGTACGGAGCCGCTGACGTTTGACGTTCTGAAATCATGAAAAGTTTCCAGGTCAAACATCAAAATTAAGTGATCCATTAATGTTGAATCAATTATATTCCCAGACCATCAATAACTTTGTATGTAGTGAATATGATATTAAAGAACATCACATATATTGCTCAGACCCAAAAGTATGTAACTTAATCCTTAAATTCATTCAGCGTACGAGTCACTCGTACACTGTCAAAGAACAAAAATATATACAAAAATTATATGATGACACTTACTTGTAGCCAGCTAATAAGTTCATTAGTGTACTTTTGCCAGCACCAGAAGGTCCCATTATGGCGGTCAGTTCTCCTGATCGGAATGTGCCGTTAATACATTTTAAGAGTGTCTTGTAGCCTCTCCTTCTGCCTTCACTGACCGAGTAGGAGAGATCAGTGAACTCGATGTCTACTGGTGGGCGTTTAGGAAGATGGGTGAGTGCTGCTTTAGGCTTCTTCTGGTCACCATAACCATTGGGAATCTTAGGTACCAAACCCATCATGGCTGCTGTGCCAGCACCACCATTGCATAGGTTCATTTGTGAGCCCCTGAAACAATTTTGAAATTTCTATTAGGTACAATTTATATTTACACTTAAATATCTTTGGTATGTTTTACCGTACTCTAATCCTTTATATTGTTATTTGATAGTCTGTGGCGGGAAATCTTCTTCTTACAAATATCTCCATACTGAAAGAAATTAAGTCAAGCAGTGTCTATCTAATCTTGTATAGACTAGTATTCTTAAATTTTTCAGTCAGATTGAACGCGCAGGTTATCACCGATGCGATGGACCTACCAAATAAAGTCCATGAAGGCCCGCATCCACACGAATACTCAAAGATGTCGATTAACAAGGGGTGATAAGATGTCGTGAGGCGAGCTACATCGGTCACTCTAGCAGATACTGGATGTTGACCAAGACCACTCTATCAAGAGTGTTACGACTGAGATTAGAGATAATAAAGCTATAAAAAAGAACGGAATTCATGTATTATTCTATTCTTAAATCTACAAAAAACAAATCAACTATTAATTTGTATTAACATCACTTGAACAGCCTGAAGTTTAATTAGAAATTTATACTATCCAGAAAGTCATGTCTCTAATTTGTGTGCTAGGTACAAGTCTTTGGAGCGAAGCCAAGCGGAGCGGCGGCTGTTACGAAACATAATGGTATGCTGTTTACGTATCGGCTGAATATCTGATGCCAGTTAGAGTAAATATTGTAGGTCATGCTAGCTTTTGGTTATATGCTTATACAAATCGTGATAGTTATGAGAGAATATTAACCGATCCACCTTAATATATGAACAACATTTAAACATATGCCCTCAAACAAGTGATAGACAAAAGAGGTCAATTCACTTCAGGCTCATTAACAGGATGTACATACGTAGTTAGTTTATTCCATAACATCACATATTCCATAACATGCAGTGGCGTACTAAGGGGGTGCAGAGGGGGCGGTATGCCCGCGTCTCTTGTCGTTTCTGCGTCGTGTCGATGCCGCCCCGGGCCCCTGACGGGGTTAGCCCGCCACTCTCGCAATATTTGAATTTTATATTTGTATATACTCGGAGAGGTGAATTTTTCAGCTGTAAATGGTTCTATTAAACACCATAACTAACTAACTAAGAAGTAAATAAATAATACAATTGCATGTTAGAAAATAAGTAATTCATTAAAAAAAAAAGTTAACAAATACAGTACCAAAAGAAATATCTCTTTCTTATCAATGTGGAGGGTGCACGGGTGGTGGTGACCTTCGTGATTTATAAATGCTTTAATAACTTTAAAAAATGTAACTATGTTTAATCCTATAAAGTAAATAAAAAAAAAAAATCTTTGTGCAATCAAGTCATCGAGGCATCATCACGTTAATTTTGTCGCAAACCCCCTACCCTACTTTAATAAGCCCTCCTCTAGATAATATGAAGTTAGGTACTCGTCGAAGTCGGCCTAGGCAAATATTTATGTTAAGATCTAATCCACATCATGTGTAATTGCAACTATTTCCGTCTCATCATTGTACAGTAGCTAACAGAATGTCGGATACACAATAGGAAAAATATTAAAGAAAGCATTTACTTCTAAAAATACCGAACTATAGTTTGAAAGATTTCTATATTTATCTATCAACGTGTTTTGAAGCCTGTCACATATTTTATGAAGCTAAAAATAAAGTTCAAGGCTAATGAATCAATATGCTTTTACGCATGCGACGATTCACTGTAATATACTTTATTGCTAACTTGAGGTTCATCTTTGTGTTTTTGAAAATTAAATCAAAATTAATTTTTTGAATTACTTATATCCAACCTTTTTGGTTATTTATTAAAGATAAAATACTTCATAATTTACAAGAATATTTATTCAAATAACCAACTCTTGTATAAGAAGAACCAACTTAACCTATTTACATCCAAGGTCATCAGAGTTTCTACTTGGAACTCAATAAAATCTAAAATATTAAACAAACGTTTCATCCGTATAACTCTCTGAAATTTATGTTCGGAACAAAAGACAAATACAAGGAATCTCAATTGAAACAATTGAGGTCAAATGGAAGAAATATACAACAATCGATTGATTTTATTAAACTCACACAATGTCATTGAGATCTATTTCAGTCATAGTTTCATTGAGATCATTGACTCGATTGATCTAAATGCTTTTCTATTACTTTCAGATGCAGAAAAAAAAACATCATACAGCAGTGCCATTCTCTTATGGAAAACCGCCTCAAAATCGTCTACGATGGCAATGCTGTCATAGCATAGAATTTCAGTCAAATAAACCCACTTCAAAAGGTTATATAGATTTTAATTCATAGCTTCTCTCAATAGCATAGCTAATTTCATAATGTTTAATTTCAAAACTTCAAGAGATATTTAAAACAAAATATTCAGCTTTCACAACTATCGAATGCCATACTTATATTGGTAACATAACTAACTCAATATTATTTCCAATAACACAAATTATGTACGAGGAAACCTTAGATATGCCAATATTTGACACTTGCTGTTACACTAGAGAATATAATTGGATTGGACGCGGGCAATAGTTTGAAATATTCTTTGACGTCCATGAAATAGGCACATAATACTATATTGATCGACGTATGTTAATGAATTTTCCGTTCAACTTTTATTTGCAACTAGCTTTCGCCCGAGTGGACCCTTGGGAAATGTTTAGTGGGATAAAAAGTATCCTATTATCTAAGTCAGCTAATACCCTATCTGTATACCAAATTTCATCAAAATTCGTTGAGTAGTTTCGGCGTGATTGACGTAGAAACATCCAAACAAGGAAACATTCACATTTATAATATTAATAATAGGATTATACAATTCTACGAAATTGTAGTGCGATTACACAATAGTATACAAGTCTTTTTATGATAATATTTAGTTACTTATCGTAATCGGAACAATAATAATTATCCAATAATAAAATAGTAAAAAGGTTAATAAAACTAATCAATAAAGACATCTTTTGAACGGTTTAACACATTACACTGTTTAATCCTTTGCAGGCTCTGCGATCATTCATTATCATTGTCAACCTATCAATCTCTAGTTTTGGATATAAGTGTCTTCCGATTTCTTCCATGTCTGATGCAATAAGATACTTATTGACAAACGTAATAAGATAAATAATCGATAAAAGATGAGCTCTTAAAAGTAGATATATCATAGTAGAGAAAGAAATCTCATAGTATGTCAGCTGATATGAAAGTACTGAAGCTACTTATCCTGCGACGAGGAGCCGTTTAATCACCTGAATGTGTCTTAAGATTTCCCATAAATTAGTCTTAAATCTATTTTAAACTTGTGAGATAAAAGCTAGTCGATCGCTAGTTATGTCTGTCTTTGCGTATCGGGTATTTCAAAAAGAAATACGTTTATATGCTGGCATAGCATAAACTACTAAATTTAGTTCTGCCCAACTGCAACTTCAATCCTAAAAACTACCAAGTGAACTTACTACATATTAGAGTAAACAAGACTACAATTATAGTTCTTAGAGTACATGTCGCAATATAATAAACCTCAAAATAAATTTAAACTAGAAAATTACGTTGTTTACTCCAAATAGTGGTACAACAGAATTGCCCCAAATGTTTTCATAAAAAAAACGTAAATAACTGTATTTTTGTTATTATCTATGTTTCGTCACCAGCCCTTTTACGTCCCCACTGCAAGGGATCAGGCCTTTCTTATGGATGGTTAAGGAGGATGGTATTAACGACTGCAAATGCAGCCGGGACCAATGGCTTAACGTGCCTTCCGAAGCACGATGTAGCTCGAGATAATAATTTTTGGTCACCCATCCCATGACCGACCCTTGCGAAAGTTGCTTAACAACAACGATCGCGGGCCGCGGCGCTTATCCTCTACACTACCAAGCTACTTGTCTATGTTTATTATTAGTTAAAACATGTAAACTGGTGTAATTTATTCATGATTTTATACATATTTTTTTAAGTCTGTTCTGTTCCCGATTTCACTAAGAGATTCGTAATATGTATTCCTCCTTCCTCCTCCTTCCATATTTCCAGAAAAATGTTATCTTAAAATTTACATCTTTCATAATTATTAACCCATTAAAATATCTACTGCTGAAGCATATGAAAATAGCTGGAAAGTAGGTATTAACTATTGCAGATACAGCAGGGACCATTACTTGACCTGCATTCTTAAGCATAAAATGGTAGATTTGCATTTGCAAACCGATGATCACTAGACATAGTGAAGATTGCGATGAATAAATTCATAAAAAAAAGTATTGTTCGTATTTTTCTAACAGACAAACCCAAAAAACATATTCAAACAACCTCTGAACCTGGAACAACGTCAAAACGCTGTATTAACATGTATCTGGGACAAAATATGCTAACTGATGACACGCTCGCTGAAAATGAAGTACCGTTTTGAGTACGACCTGCTTTGGTATTGTATAAAAATACAGCATCGAACGCGGCAATATCATTAGAGATTGTTTTTTAACCTTTTAACATAAAGTAGATTTTATTTGATTCAATCTCTATTGCTGTGTGTGTGCGACAACTTTCTTGTTTGTTGGTTTATATGAAAGCAACAAATGCATTTAGATCAAATGTGTCAATGATCTGAGACATGACGTATTTAGCAAAATAAAAGTGACGTGTCTGTTGAGTATTCAGTTCTACAAAAACTAAATATCGTGTTTATAATATTAGCTTGTAATATTTGGTTTTAAAATTAATGATATAGATATTTATATTGAAGAATTTTGTTTCTAAAAAAACGCCGTTACAAACAGCACTTTCAGATATTCTAGCGGCTAAATATACTCGTAGCCATATTACGTCTTCTTAAATGAGGACCAACTTTAGTACCAGATTTAAGCCATTCAACTCTGACGTCTCAACTTGACGTTTACTCTTTTGCTATCGTTCTCTCTTTTGCTAATTTGCTTTAGGCAGCCAATGATTTAAACCAATTACCAACTTTAGTCCTCTTTTTATAGTAACACGGTAGAAATTAAGATGTGCCTTCTCATTTACTGACCCCATTAGCTGGCCATTGTTGAGTTGTTCTGCACACGGCGGAGGAGACTTGACTTGTGAGAACAGCACTTTTTCATTGATCTCGCCGCGGCTGCCACGCCCCATCAGCGGCAGGTGAATCTGGGTGCCTTTAGACTCCATCTTCAGGCCGGGTGTCATCGCTCCACTACCATCGTGTGCCAGGAGACCCTGGGAACAACATCAATTAACTTTATCAATCCACTGCGAATTCAAATTGAATGGAATACTGAAAAAATCATGAGATTGTGTTTCTACGGTTTTTGGAACGCTAATATTTTTTTCTTTTAAAAAATTGAAAGTCTTTTGCAATATAGAATATTAAAATTTATAGTAAAAGTTGCGCTATCGGAAGGATGTCAAAAGCAATAAAACCGACGAGCACGTATGAATAACAACTATACTGTTAAAATATTAAAATATGAAGTAAGTAATCTGAGCGAAACACTGGATTCTGAAGAAATCCACAAGGGCAACGCCATTAATTAAAAAGAAGAAGAATAATAATCACCGTCGAGCACACTGTCACAGCATTAGAGTTACAAACAACCGAAACTTACCTACTTGAAAAGATAATAAAGATTTTAGTTGATTGAGCCTAATGCTGACAGCCCTGTTTTCGACGCGTGAATGTTTACATAATACCAAAGATGAATATGAAGGAAGCGATAGACTTATTTAAGGGCCGTGCCTTTTAGCATTTTTATTCTCGGGATCTAATAATAGTGTATTCAATAACTAAAAAAGCGGTTGACAAATTAATAAAGTCCTCTTGTAATCTCAAAATGCCTGCCCGACTTTCGAAGAACACATTTTACTTTTTTTTTGTAATCCATTTTAATTTTTACCAGCATTGCGCTGAAATATATCGTTATCACAGCACTTAAACTTATATTTAGTTTAGTAATTTATAGGTACGCTACGTACGTTAAATTCACATGTCTTACCCTTGTCAACCCGTATCAAATGCAAAGTAGGCTTGAAGAGATTTTGACAAAAAAAAATGTTCAAGCCCTACCGTTTTTATTGAATTTTCACTTTAAGTAATGGATGGATTGATTGGATAATAAATTATTTTAATAATAACTTAATTTGCGTTCTAATACTCCGATTTCACGAATGTGTAACAACTATAATAGCGTTTGTAGTGTGTGTGGCGAAGTGGACATAATTGACGACAAATATCGAAGTTTCGAGAAAAAATAAAAACATATTTGTGCCAGTCAGCAGCTGTATTGTAATATTATTTTTTACCTTTGGGAAGCTACATCATATGCGGTGCACATAGGCTATATTTTATCCCGAACAGCAAATAATAAAAGAGAATGGAAGTTTGTATGAGGAATCAAAACATTGCCGTAGTAACCATTGTTTACTAATCATTGGCATTGTAATTATATAAGTTTGTTATGATATTAGCTTTATGATATTAGCCGGGTAGCTCGGTGGCGTAGTGGATAAGCGCCGCGGCCCGCGATTGTTGTCGTTAAGCATCTTTCGCAAGGGTCGGTCACGGGATGACCAAAAAATTATTATCTCGAGCTACTCCGTGCTTCGGAAGGCACGTTAAGCCGTTGGTCCCGGCTGCATTTGCAGCCGTTAATACCCTCCAATCCGCATTGGGCCAGCGTGGAGGGTCATGGCCCATTCTCCTTAACCATCCATAAGGAAGGCCTGAGCCCCTGCAGTGGGGACGTAAAAGTGCTGATGATGTTATGATATTATGATATGAATCGATATATAAATAAATAGTTCCCTAGGGACCACACTGGGGAAGCCGCTGGCGGATACCTAGTAATTAATAAAGGGTTCAATTTATTGAGAATTAATTAATAATTACGAGCATTACGAAGCACACAACCATACTTGGAAATCAATACAATAACAGTTTTATAGCATTAGTAATTTTTGTAGCCTCTCTAAGCTCTCAATGGTTATTTTTAGCCGAATAAAATTTCCTTTGGCACGAACGACTCGTTTCCACAACACTAACAATAGTTATATACAAGTATAATGTACGAAACCATGAGCAAGAAAATACTTAACTGTGCTATGACGTCAAACCACTCTCAAGCCGAATAACTCACATGTTTTAGAACAATATTTAGCCAGTTTTTTCATGGCATTCATCATCAGACTTGTTTTTTCATGTCTCAACTACAGGAGCTCAGGCCTTCCTTATGGATTGATAAGGAGGATAGGCCAAAGGAGGTTTCTTAATTCAGACACCAGCCGTAAATGTTGGGTAGCTGTATTGATTAGAGCGATCGTCCGGATTACAGATTATGGGCTCGAATCCTAACTGAGGCTATGATTGATGATTTTTAAGCATTATTCTATAAGATGAATATCGTAAAAATCGTAATCGTAAGTATCGTAATATCATCATTGATCAAATAAGAAGATTCTAAAGATCCCCAGTCACAAGTACTACCAAACGTCAATTCTAAAACCTATTTATGGCAGCCCTACACATAATGTATAGATTTATGAAAAACGGGCCAAAAACGATTCAGACTCGCGGACGAAGGATTCCGTACCGTTATCCATAAAAAAATGCAAAATAAATCACGTTTGTTGTTTTCTATAGAGTTGTCGCTCGTAAACTTGTAAAGCCAACTTAAGTGTGATAGTTTTCCTTTTAAGTTCGATATATAAATGTACTATTGCCATGATTTTTAAATTTTTAACAACAATCGTTTAGTTGGTAATGGGGGGGACACTCGATTCTTATTTGTTAACAGCCTAGACTGTATCCTCATTATGTATTGTAAATTATTGTAATTATAACTCGTAACAAACTGCTTAGATTACAAAATAAATCAAGAGGTTTGGAACTTGTTTTGTATATGAGTATGCTTCTTTATTTGATTGATTAATTAAGTAATAAGGAAACGATTCGCGAAAAATTTAAATGAAATTATCTTTATCGATTTCGACTTTAACAAGGAATTATATTTCATAAAAACTGAGAAACTCCATTCTATTGAAGTCGGTTAAAAAAAGATTAGCAGTCTGAACAAAATCCATGGAAGTCTTTCCTCATTATAAGCTTGGAATGAACAAATAACATTCATGCCAAATTTGATGCCGTGACATTGTCATCAAACAATTCATAGATAGCGTTGTAATTTGTGATAATATGTCGTGGCGTTGTTACTATCGGATGCTAATCAATGCTAATCCTATGTCCGTCTCTTTCATTCATAATAAAATAAAACTCGTGAATTCAAAAAATTAAAAAAACTTTAGACGTTGGTCTCATTTGCATCTGCAGTCGTTGACATCTGCCCTAGGTCCTTGTGGTGGTTTATAGTCTCTTTTCCTAGTTAATTCCATCTATAATGAAGGCCTGGCCTCCAATTCTGATAATTTTTACGTAATAACCACACCACAATAGTTTCAACTACTTGTCAAAGTCAAAATAATCTTTATCTTAATCGTCCAACATTTTTTTCCCTACCGCTTGTTCAGGACGTCTTTTGGCTGATAAGAAGAACGAGCAAGAAACTCACCAGCTCTAATAGGAGTAATGACATTTAACTTGAATTTTTGCATTATAATATCTACCTGAAATCCAATATTATTAATGTCTTCTTCACAAATCAATGGTGACAGATATATTTATAATTTTGTGATCTAGTAACATAAATGTGTCATGTGAAGGTATAGTTGAATCGCTATTGACTTACCACGCTTGATGAGGTTATCTATTACTGGACGATGTTTTGCTTATAACTTTTATCATATGAACAATCACCTGGTATCATTATTTTATACTCACGATTGCGGCGGATTGGTGAAAGTTTACATATGCTGATACAGCCATGAAGCATGGTGAAGGTCTATATAATACATTTTTGGTAACCCATATCAAGCCTATAGATAAATAAATATAAGACAACATCGGACACATTGCGCAGATACCAAATTAAGTAGCTAAAGTATTTGTAATGTGGAAATTTGAAGGAAAGAATGTAATACAACCAGACTCGTGCCAATGTAGGAAAGTGTATTTTTTATATTGGCCTAACCGGGAACTGAAACCAGGATGTCGTAATGGCGCTGTCTTAAGGCGTTCGACTTATATCCCCAACATAGGTTGTCGATGAAGAAATTTAAAAATATCCGATGACTAGTTCCATTACATTACACTTTTTAAATAAATAGGACTCACAATGATGACAACATAATGCAAAGTTCACGCGATTATATAATAATTGTGATCAAAGGATAAGATCGGGTAAAGCATCAGTTTATACAAATCTGATATTATTTAATCAATCAATTATTTAATCAAGTTGAGTGTAGAAGTTAAAATCAATTACGAAATTTCTCATATTGTAGCAACATGATGCCGTTGTACAAAACCGGATTATAGAATAGTATTTTTTTTCCAAGTCGTTGTTTATGTAATAGTAAACTAAAAAGCTACCGGACGGAGTCTTCTTATTCACTTTTAAACCTCAATTCAGAAACTAGAAATAGTAGTCTATGGCCAGTTTCTGAATTGAGAAAAGTACAAAATCTCAACTGATTATGCTTAATAACTTAAGTTTATAGCTTTAGCCAAGCCAAAAAGTTTGCACGTCTGGCATGAATAGGGTTAATGATTTCTTTGCAATTATAAGAAGGGCTGCCGCTTTCAAAGACCGAATATCCAACAAACAATATACAACAATATCTTACCAACAATATAATTATATTATCAATTTATGACTCATGTTAAATGATAAAATGTGATTTATTTTTAAGTGACGTGTAAGTTTGTGACTTGCTTTAGCTATTACTCTATCCACGGACATAAAAAAACGTTTTGTTCATATTATCAGTGAATTCTTAATAGTATTTTATGATTTAAGTTTTCAAAATGTATTTGTTATTTTAATATGTATTTGTTTGCTCAAATTCCACTTCTTAATAAAATCACGCCATCAAATCATCATAATCAATATTTAAAAATGTTTATAGCTGTTTATAAGCATATGTGTTACAAGAATTAAAATTATTAAAAAAAAAATTAATTTATCAGTAAAAAGTTCTAATAGTTACGACTGGGCAAAGTGAGTTGGCGGTTGTCCTATAGTAATGGTATTCATAAAACGTCAACAATCAAATAATACCAATTTCAAAAGGTAATTATTTCATTTCATTGCTATGATATGACAGCG